ATATAACAATTAAATCCGGATCTAATAATTAAATCCGGATATAAGCTATTAAATCCGGATCCAGGTATTAACTCTAGTACAGACATTAACTTCATTACATATTTAGCTTATTATTTATTTCGTTCACTATCGCTGACCTAAACCCGGCACTCACTTACTGACGCTCTTCCGATCCGATAGTAACAACGGCAGTCACATTTATTTTGAGTTTTTTAAGTTTAGAGTGGCCTGTCGGGACGACAGTCACACGAGATTTCTTGGTTGTGGCAGGGTTTTTTCCAGAATTTTGGTTTTTTTGCCCTGTCCGCCAAGTTAGCAGCATAGTTAGCAGCATAGTTAGTATAGTAGCACAGTCGCACATGTAGTAAACAGTAACATAAGTGTATTTGTAATATGGACACAATAGCACGAAGGCGGAAGGGACAGATAACCCGACAAATGCTTTTTAGGCCAAAAATATCAAGTAATTTATAAATAAACAGCATAAAAAACATCCTTATATAAATAGCTGCTGGTATGGTTTGGCTTATAAAATAATTTTATTGAGCGCCCAACGCAACTTGATGACCATGACACTAAAAAGGCTATTGAGCCATAGCTATTGGCAAAAAGCCCTTGACTGTTATTCCATTGCTAATGCGATTAAAATTGCAGCTAGGGAAGCAAAAGAAAGATTAAATGTTTCACTTAAGGTTAGCGTAATTTTGCCTACGAACATAAATGGGAAAGCAAGAATAGATAGCGCTAACTACGTGATTAAAAAGCGTGAAGTATTTGAACAGTTAGGCATTTGCACTCAATTGATAAAAGTTTCGCCTCAATACAGTGAGCTACAAATTAAAGAACTCCTTAAAGGCTTAAGTAGTGATCCTAGCAATACTGGTATCATTTTACAACTACCATTCCCGTCTAGCTTTTCAGTTAATAAAATTGATATTTTAAATACAATACCTATCTACAAGGACATTGATGGACTAACTACAGGTTCAATGGGCAATTTATTTGACTTAGAAAAAGGTCTAAAGCCTGCTACTCCGCTTGGCATTTGCAGTATTTTTGATTACTACAATATTTCAACAGAAGGAAAACATATTGTAATTATGGGTAAAGGTCAGCTCGTGGGAAAGCCGCTTGCCTGTATGCTAATGGGTCATCCTTATAACGCTACAGTGACAATCTGTGATATATATACAGAAAATATAAAAAAAATTGCTAAAAGTGCTGATACCTTGATCGTTGCTATTGGCAAGCCGCTTCATGTTAATGAAGATCTAGTCAAACCTGATGCTGTAGTAATCGATGCAGGCATTAATAGAACCCCAGCAGGATTTGCCAATGGAAATGCAAAGATTGTAGGCGATGTAGATCACTCAGTGCATGAAAAGTGCAAATACTATACTCCAGTACCAGGAGGCGTTGGCTTGCTTACCGTTGCTTCATTAGCTTTTAATACTGTTAATGCAAGCATTTTGCAGCGTGGATTGCCATCTTTGAATTTATCTCAGATAATAAGAGAAAAATATTCAGTTAAGGCAGTTGAAAAAAATAGTATATCTATTAATAAAGCAATTGAAAAGAAGAAACTAAACCTTTTATTGTTCTCTTCTGCTTACAACGGTATGACACAGAGAATAGAGCATGGATTACTTCGCCTTGGCCATGTAGTAACATTCCAAATAGCCGACTCAGATGAAGCAATGTGTTTTGCTTTCGCACAGCATAAACCTGACTTAATTATTTGTCCAACGCTTATGAAAGCAATACCTGAGGATATCTATACCAAAGTAAAATGTCTTATTGTTCATCCTGGAATTAAGGGTGACAGAGGCCCTTCCTCATTAGATTGGGCTATTCTCAATAGCAAAGATGAATGGGGGGTTACTATTCTTGAAGCTGATAAGGAAATGGACTCGGGTGCCATCTGGGCAAGTGAAAACTTCTTAGTTCCAAAAGTTATTGCTAAGACACATTTATATAATTCTCAAGTTATTAATACGGCATCAAAGTTGGTGCTTGAATGTGTCAAAAAGTTTCAATTGAATAATTTTAAGCCTGAGTCACTAAACTATGCTAATCCTTCTGTGAAAGGCCGGCTTCATGAAACTATTAAGCAGACGCATTCACATAGACAAATAAATTGGGAAATGGATACTACTGAAATTATTTTAAGAAAAATACGTGCAGCTGATAGTCAGCCAGGAGTTAAGGCAGAAATTGAGCTTGATAACCAAAAAATAACAAGATTCTTGTATGGTGGACATTATGAAGGAGCAATTAACAAAGACCTGATAGCTTGTCCTGGAAAAGTTCTTGCTAGACGAGATGAGGCCATTTGTATTGCTGCCAAAGATGGTGCATTTTGGATTTCTCAGTTGCGTTCACCTAAGACAAAATTAAATCCTTATCCATTTAAGTTGCCTGCCACTACACAACTAGGTAAATTATCCGAAAATATTTCTGCAATTAATCTTGAACAGGTTCTTATAGCGCCAACTCTTGCCACTTTTCAAGAGATAAGCCTTGAGTTGTTCGACTCCTATGGTGTCTTAAATTTTAACTTTTACAATGGGGCCATGAGCACTTCACAGTGTGAAAGGCTTTTAAAGGCAATCAAAGAATGTAAAAATTTGCCTGTTAAAGGATTGATTCTTGCAGGCAGCGCTAATAATTGGTCAAATGGTATTAACTTAAATGTTATTCAAAATGCTGCTGATCCAAGCCTAGAAGGATGGAAAAATATCAAAGCAATAAACGAAGTAGTTAAAGAAATTATCGGGCTTTCAAATATTATAACAATATCAGCAATACAAGCTAATGCTGGCGCAGGCGGAGTTTATCTCGGACTTGCAACCGACTTTTCGTTTGTTAGACCAGGCGTTGTTTTAAACCCTCACTACAAAAATATGGGTTTATATGGTTCAGAGTTACATACTTATACTGTACCCAGGAGAGTGGGCATGCTTGCTTTAGATAAACTTAAAGACAATGCCAGGCCATTGCTAGCTGTTGAGGCAATTGAAATTGGTTTGTTTGATGACTTGATGGAGCAAAAACAGAAAATCAATTATCAAAATACAACAAAAGCTGAAGGGGATTTTTTAGATGATGTTAAAAAATTTATGGAAACATTTGTGAATGATCCAATACGAGTTTCGAAATTTATTGAAAACAAGCAGACTGCTCGCATGCAAGATGACATAGTTAGAAAATTAGATGAACATGAAAAACATGAATTAGAGGAAATGCACAAAGACATATTTGAAAACCGTCACAATTTTCATGAAAAAAGATGGGCGTTTGTTGCTAAATCCTTGACAAAATAAATTGTGGCAGTAAGAACATAGAAAAATCTAGACATTAAATAGCTTGGTTTCTTTTTTAAAGTAAAAACAATCCGTATAAATTTACTATGAACAGTTTACGGAAAGAATTTCCCATTTTTCAGAAACAAAAGAAATTAATTTATTTAGATAGCGCTGCTACTAGTCTAAAGCCAAAGACAGTAATTAAAGCCATCAACGACTATAATCAAAATTATTCCATTAATTCGCACAGCGAAAGCAGCGTACCTTTGTTTAAGGCAGTATGAAAAACTATCCAAGAAACCCGAGAAATAATTGCGCGAAAAATCAATAGTAAAGCAGAAGAGGTTGTTTTTTTGCCTTCTACCACTTACGCGCTTAATATTTTAGCCTTATCTTTGAAAGTTCATTTACAAGCCGGAGACCGAATTTGTTTGGCTTACCTCGAACATAGCGCTAATCTTCACCCTTGGCAAGACCTTGCCCAAGAGAAAGGAGTTATTATTGACTACTTGCCTTTGAATAAAGAAGTTACAATTGATATTGATAAATTAAATAATATATTGATAAAAAAACCAAAATAGTTAATTTCGTGCATGTTAGCAATAGTTTAGGAGTAATTAATCCCATCACAGAAATTACTAAAAAAATTAAAGAAATTAATCCTAAATGCTTAGTTATCATAGATGCCTGTCAAAGTATTATCCATGTTCCTATTGAAGTAGAAAAGTGAAATATTGACGCTTTAGTTTTATCGGGTCATAAAGTATACGGACCAACCGGCATTGGAGTTTTGTGAATAAAAAAAGAATTAGGAGAAAAATTGCCCCATTTATTATGAGGGAGTGGAAAAAAAATTGGACCAGCCGAAAAGAGCGCAGAACTAAACTTGCCTCTCTCCCAAAAATTCGAAGTAGGAACCTTACCCTTAGCAGAAATTTTTGGTTTAAAAGCCGCCTTTGAATTTTTAGATAATTTTGCTTCCCAGGAAATTTATAAATATGAAAATGATTTACGCAATTATGCTCTTCAAAAATTAAAAACCATCAAAAATATAGTTATTTAAAATCAAAACTTAGTATCGGCTAATATTATTACTTTTAATTTACCACCTTATCACGCTCATGACATTGCTGATTATTTAGAAAAAAACAATATTTATGTGCGAGCCGGAAACTTTTGTTGTCCTTACTTAGATAAGTTAATTGGTACTAATTCAGCTTTACGAACATCTTTAGGAGTATACAACAATCGCAAAGATATTGATAAAGTTGTAAAGTATTTAAAAAAAATAGAAAAAGATCCTCAAATACTGTTGCCCTTTTAAATTTTAACACGTTAAAAAGTACAATCACAGCTTGTGTTTTTATTGCTAATATTAAATTTTCAAATAAAAGAAGAAAGCAAAATATTTTGTTAATGTTGCAACGATACTAAGAGTAAAGAGAGATAAAATCAGAATCTCAGTCTAAGAATAAGCCACAAATACAAACGTCAAAATAGAAAAGTTTTTCCTCCCTAACCACTACCAAAAGACGAAAGAGCAACAAGAGGGGTTGAAACAATTAAAAGACGAGACATGATTATATATTTATTTCGGCTCCTTTTTCCTTGTACCAACCTTTTACCGAAAGCAAGTTGAAGATTCAAGACTAGAAGTCAACAACAAATTGAAGGTTTCTTGATATGAACTGTTGTCAACGAAGTCTTTAAATGTGATACACCGAGAAGCGGACATTTTAGACAGTTTGCAAAGGGATCAAGCCTTATTTTCTATATTTCTTAAATAAACTCCTCTTTGCATTTGGCATTCAAATCAGAGAAATCTCTGGGAACAGCAAGTAGAAAGGAAGGTTGATGATTGCTTAAAGATAGAAGATTATAAAGAACTCTTGAAACAACACTCCTTAGTTAGAAAACTTGCAAAAACACAATATTTTCTTGCCATCATTTGGTTTCAAAATTTTTATAAAAAGTAGAAAATTCAACAAACTCCTCCAAAAGATCAGCATTGTTTACCACTTTCATATTAGAAAACTAGATGATAACAAATCAATATGTGTAATTTGGTGACTAAACACAAGTCACATAGAGTTTAAAATTCTTATACTTCGAATATTAATATTAATTTAATCAAAAGTGTATTGAGATATACAAGCTTGTCACTTGTATATAATTTTTAACCTTTAGCATAAATTATAATATATTTTTATTATAGTTTAGATTTCTGTTAAGACTCTTGTATTTAATATTAGATCATTACTCTCTGTATAGATATAAGTTTTCGCCTTGTTAGCAGATTTTCTTCTGTTTAGTGATAGTTTCTTTTAAGTTTTAGTATAGGTTTTTTTATTTTTTAGTATTAGTATCTATTTCTTTGATGTATTTGTTTTTATTATATGGGCTGCCATCAATAGAAATAAGGCAAATTAACATTTTAAAAAAATTTAAAGCCTTAACTTTCACAGCTCAT